CAATTGGTTTAGATATTTGATGAAATAATTAATTAAATAATTGATCGGCTATAGCCGGCTATTTAGCCGCGGCTAGCTGGCTATGAGCGGCTAGCCGGTAATAGCCAGCCGATAGCCAGCCGCACCCATCCCTAGCCGACACTTATTCCACCAAGTTCATTTCACCAAAGCTCATTTCAATAGAATAATTCTGGTCATTGTCATTAGGGTCAGGTTAGAATTAGAGTTAAAGTTAGCAGAATTTATGAAAAAAAAACTTCTCAGTGAGTTGAGTGTCGGTGAAATAAACTGTTGGTGAAATGAAATTATCGGTAAAATAAGTGTGGTCGAAACAAAAATGTTAGTGAAATGAGTTCGGTGAAATGTTACATCTACGAAATGAGTGTCGGTGAAGTGAGACATAATTTGTAATCGTATATCCAAGTTTTCTTTTGATATCCAAATTATTATACAAAATTATGAGTATATGATCTAACTGATGTTTGATGATATGCGTTCATTTTCTCGAAACTATTTTCCTGGTGTGTCATTTACTCGACATCACAAAGGGTGAATATTTAACATTCTATTAATTGTGGGTACATATTGTTAGGAAACCTTCACCCAGCGTGATGTTGAGCAAATGACATGTCGGGGAATAGACAAAGAATTTGACCAAAATTGGCACAAGTTATACAACCTTCATTTATATTATATCTTATAAATTTTCTAATCAAGCCTAGCTACTAGAAATAAAGGCGCAAGTAAATGAAAAAAAATTAAAATTAACAACAAACATTAAATTATCGGATGCCATAATTTCTCCCCAATTTCAGAATTTTACTATCGAAGTAATAAAGTACAACCAATCAGTCTTGGGAAAGAAATTAGTAAATTCTAAATTATCTATAATTTTTTTAAAAAAACAGAATTTCTCTTAAATTTCACATGATAGATAATCTCACGAACAAAAATCGAAACTATTTAAAAGCACATGAACAATCTAAATCGCAACCATGAATTTTGAATAACACGACCTTAAATTTAAACCTCAAGTCATATATTTTATTATAAACAAAATAATAATTACTATACATCGAATAAACAAATTTGTCAAATTTGATACAATAAGCAAAATTATAAAAAATTAACTAAAACAATATCAAATAAACAAAAAATACTAAATAACATGGGTGGCGCGAATGCACCACCCATTGTACTGTACTAGCGCTAGTTTAAAAAAAATAAAAATATCGACAGTTGATAAAATTTAAATAAACATAAATTATCGACAGTTGATAAAATTTAATGAACATAAATTATCGCATATAGCCAGTTAAAAAAAGACTTATAACATATTTTCTTCAAATAACTATAATATATTGCCGTAGAAAGTTTAAATTCACTATCATGACGTCATTACTATTACATCATAATATATTAAAAAATTAAAAATCAATCATGATTTTTAAGATATCGTTTTAAAATATTGAAGGTAATAGGGATTCCCTATGACCGTTGTTATCCGACCGAAATTTTATGCGTAATAGAATTATTCGTTTTTGCCACTTCGTCTAACATAACATCGCTTTTATTGTTAACATTCGAGTTAACATTTGATTTAAATAAAACGTAATATTATCGAAGGTAGATTTTTTCGCATTATTTTCCCCCAAAATCGTAAACGATAATACACTTAGAAGATAAACAATCGATTTTTTTAAAAATTTTGAGATCTAAAACGATATAATAATGGTGGGCTCATTCAAAATAATAAATGTTACTCTCAGCAGTTATTTATAACTCACAATATATTCTTCATGACCCGGAATATTTTCATATGAGTACGGCAATAATGAGATGGAAGTTGAAGTATCTAATATAAGGGGTAATTGACCCTTTTAAACAAATTTATTTCCTCCAAAAATAAACCATAGTCATCTTGTTGATAGTTATTACTGGAAGAATTTCTACTAAGTATAAGGATATTTTCATTATTATTGCTGGAAAATTCTCTATTAAAAGCAAGGATGACATTATTATTGCTGGAAGAATCTCTACTAATTGTAGGGATATTTTTGTCATTCGGAGATTTTGGTTTGGGCCCTCGTCTTCTTTGTTGAACCGAATAAGTGCATTCAACATTACGCTTTATGCATTTACTGCACTTAGTACCCTGATCAAGCTTTTCGCATTTGGCTTTTAAATGTCTACAAGTATCACATGCTTTAGTTACTTTGGACCGTGGCATTTAGAGATTTTTCGTAAATAATGATTTGTAAATAGCAAATATGATAACTATTAGACACTTAAAATGACTTTTGAAAATCCAAGACTTGATGTACCGTATTTATAGAATTTGATAAAGTAAGTTTGTCAAACAAATACAGGAGAACCTGGATTTTTCATCTAATGATGATATAAATATATTCCTGTTTAAGTCGATCTATTCATTGAATTTTTTATTGAGGCGAAATAATTAATTTTCCGTTCAGCCAAATCGACTTAGTCTAATTTAATTAAAGTTATTATGCTTATCAATTTCTGTAATCCAATCCAAACATTCTTTGTTCGTAGTTCCTACTTAAGAAATTTTAATACCGTCAAAAATGACATTATATCTATGGAAATTCATATGGTTAAGGTTAAATAATAATATATTCCCCACGAAATTTTTATTTCTGTTAATAAAATAATTTTTCCTATGTTTGTGATCTCATTAACGCTTTGTTTTTTCATAATTTCATTATTTTTCTGTAATTTATAGAATTTATAGACAGGTTAAATAATATGAGTAAACAAATTTCTATCTTTAGAGTTTCAGAGGTTCAGGTTGCGGACTACCGTAAACTGCTAATTCAATGACCCATACCCACCTACAGAGTAGTTAGCGTTTGACCTTACTGACAATATAAATTATATCGATATCCTCTCAGCTTCGGTACCACTATAAATATTCCGAAATTCAATATATCAAAAGTAATTTATTGTTCAGCGCGTAAC